TAACCGCGTGACTCATAGCTCGCCAATCTGTCACTCTACACAAACACACACGCCATGAATTGGCACCACTTTCAGATTACGGCTTTTAGCGCATCATGACATATCCAGCGCGTCTGAATATTGATAGTGAGGCAAGTTCGTTGGAGGTGAATAACAAGTACGTCCAGTGTGGGGTCAAACTGGATGAATTCGGTTAGTGGCGCGGAGTCGGCTTTAACCTGTCCTCAATGCGATCACACATTCACCTCACGCACTGGTCTGGCCAGTCGCTTGCGAATCTATCGCACAGAAACCGGCGATTCAGTGCCTGGAGCACCAATAAACAGCAGAGACCATCGCCACCTCCACTGCTTTCACCGTCCTCATGCAGCTACTCACCACATATGCGTATTTATAGCAGTGGCAGTCTACGCGATGCCGACAAAACTGACACATCCTGCACACCCAGCAACAATATTGGCGGCCAGTGATTGGAGTTTTCAGCACTAGCCATTGGCTGCTTATTTTTCTCAATTCTATTTACTGTAATTCCCGGGCAAATGGGAGGGCATGAGTTGGCTCCATCTCCAGTTCAGTTTTTAATTTCTTTAGAACTGAATTTCTAAGGATTAGCACGAACGACTGCTTCACAGATATAATCTTCGGCTTCGAGTTCCCTTCTGTACTTCTTGTCTTCTCTTAACCCAGCCTAGTTTCAGTCCAGTGATAGCTCGTCAGAATATGGTTTTTCAATGCCCCTAATGCTTTGAACAGTGTGGTGTAATGCGTATGTACAGAGGTTTCATGGTGGAACTACACACGAGTCCATCAGATGAGAATTTACCGTAGATGTTGTGATCAGACGGGGAGTCTTGAATTTACCAGAAGTTGTTTAAAAAACAGAATAAAAGAAAGAAAACTCGGGCATTTCCTCGTGTCCACTTGTGCCTGCACAGTGGGAGACAATGGGCAACTCGCTAAAAACCCAATATTAACGCCCCCTTTACACTGATGCTACACTGGTGCTCGAAGGCACTGCACCCGCATCCCAATGAGCAAAGTGGGGTAATTAACAGCCCCTTCTGAAACCGACGAATGTTATAGTTTTGTTCAGAAGCCGGCCGTTATTTTTTCTTCCAATCAACGTACCAAGGCTCATATACATACATGTGTTCGTAGGCTTGCGGCGTAGGCTCGTGTATCAGCTCCAAAGGCACCACGGATGGATATGTGTGTCCTCTAACTGATTAGTG